TACCAATTCCGAGTCCTCCCCTTCGGACTTAAAAATAGCCCCATGACATTTGTACGCCTAATGAACGAAGTTTTGAGGGGGTACCTGGATGAGTTCGTCCAAGTCTATCTTGACGACATAGTAGTGTTTTCAAACACCACGGACGAACACCAGTGCCACCTAGACAAAACGTTGGAACGGCTACAAAGACACGGGTTAACATGCAATACCGAAAAATGTCGATTTGGATCTACCGAGATCTCATTTCTCGGACACCTAGTCACCTCCGAAGGGATAGACAAACAACCGGAGAAATTGGAAGGCATAAAAAATTTCCCCACACCCACCAAAGTTAGGGACCTACGGAAATTCCTGGGCGTGTGCAACTGGTACAGCCAGTTTGTCGACAACTACGCGGACACCATAGCGCCCCTAACAGATAGGCTCAAACAGGGGGCCAAATGGTCTTGGACCGAGACGGAACAGGCGGCTTTTGTGAAAATAAAACGCGCTTTGTACGACTCGCCACGACTATCCACACCAGATTACAGAAAACCGTTCTGCCTACAAACTGATGCTAGCGAGATAGGGGCGGGAGCCGTACTTTTCCAACGGGGTGACAGCCCGGAAGAAAGACGGATAATCGCCTACGCGAGTAAAAAGTTTAGTGATACGCAGACGAGGTACGCCGCGGTCGAGCGCGAGTGCCTCGCCATAATCTGGGCGACGGACAAGTTCCGACCATATCTGGAGACCCGCCGCTTTGAACTATTTACCGACAACTCGGCACTCACATGGCTACACCGCGCCAAAAACACAAACGCTAAGTTGACCAGGTGGTCACTACAACTGGCCAACCTAGACTTCCAAACCACACACATACCCGGCGTCCAGAACGAAGCGCCGGACATGCTATCACGCCACCCGGCCCCTGGACCCCCGGTAAACGAGGAACACCTCGAGGAACGACTAGTAGGCGTATCCACCTCATCACGTACCCCGCTATGTCAACCGCCGGATAATTTGTTCGCCACCACCAACACGGGCGACACAACCAACGGCCCCAACATTACACACACAATGCTCACGTCGTGGCAGACCGATGACCCCGCCACGCGAGACATTATAAATAACGGGCTACCGGACGGCCCGGCGCGCAATACCAGTAACACCGCGGATAAAATTAACGAGTATATTTTCACCGACGGCCTACTGCGAATAAAATTACGCGACAACACACCCATAGTCGTCCCCAAACACAAAGCCCAGAACGTGATGTGGATATACCACGATCACACTCTCGCAAACCACCCGGGCTGGAAAGAAACCTACAGGGCGGTAAGACAACGGTTTTTCTGGAAAGGACTGAAAAACGACATTCGACTTTACGTCAAGTCGTGTCACATATGCGCGTGCACCAAACCACTTAACGCGCGCGCCGACGACCCGAAAACCGCTAGAATACCCCGCCAGCCCTGGGAGGTAATCAGCATAGACCTCATGGGCCCCTACCCACGCACCAGCTGGGGCAAACAATATTTACTGGTCGCTACGGACTTGTTTAGTAGATGGACCGAGGCGTACCCCCTCGGCACAGCCACTACGAAAACAATCACCGAAACGCTCGAGAGAGAGTTCTTTTCACGTTTCGGATACCCCCGGGTGTGCCTGAGCGACAACGGGCCCCAATTCGTAGCAAACGACATGCGCAGCGCAATCGAGCAGTGGGGGGCCGAGGGCTGGACAACCCCGGTGTATCACCCGAGGGCCAACCCAGTCGAACGCCGCAACCAGGAAATAAAAAAAGGTTTACGCGCGCTACTCGTAGACGGCAACCACAACACCTGGGACACCAAATTGGCACCTATCTTATTCTCGATCCGGAATAGGCGCAACGACCAGACGGGCTACCCCCCTTCGGTACTTGTCCTCGGCAGGGAGGGCAAACGGCCGGGGGACTGGGCACTATCTCGGACGGTAGACGTCCCGATCGAGATGATAAATATAGATAGGGAGCAGCGCGAAAAAAATGCCCTGGAAACACCACCTGAAAAAGGTGCCCAGGATCACACTAAGTATAGGACAGGCGACAGGGTGTACTACAAGGCACACCACCTGTCCAAAGCGCACAAAAAATTCCACGCCGGGTTCGCGCCGAAATGGTGGGGCCCCGTGCAACTCGCGCGGCAAGTAGGTAAAGGAGTATTCGTAACCGACCAACAACCGCCGCGAAAAATTCATGTGTCGTGCCTTAAGCGCGCAGTATTAATCAACATGCCCGACCCCGCGCGGGCGAGCACCCCACACCAGTAAACCCACAATAGCATCGAATATACATAATTTGCAGTCAAAGATACCAGCTCAATATGGACCGTCAACCGCAGTCCACAACCACAACCACACTCCAGCAGGCGGCGAAGCTACTGGAGCAGGCGCAACAGCGGCTGAGGACGGCCAGCCAAACAGAGGCCACCAACACCACCACGGCAGCACGGGTCCGACAGATGCCCACGGCACAGCTTCAGCGGGACCCGGTTCTGTGGGCCGCATACACGCGGGGGTGGGAGGACCGCACCGCCGTGTTCCGGAGGGCAACACGGGACGCCCCAGCTGCTGCAATGCGGCTAAACCGGTCGCGCAGCCCCAGGCGGGCAGTACGCGCTACGGCCCGAAGCCAGCCACCACCACGCCCGCTGATGGAAAGGCCGGTACCGGCACCACGGGCAACGCAAACCAACACTGGTACACTACCAGCACCCGCCGCAGCACCAACAGAAACCGCCCGCCAACGTCGGAACAAAGAGCGGCTCCGGGAGTTCCGCGAAAAGAAGCGACAAGCTTCCCAGCAGCACCGTCTGGAGCAACCGACGGCCACCGCACCTCCCAACCAAACCCCCCCAACTACCGACGACTCTATGGACACCGAGGGCACCGTACCGGAAGTGACCGCCACTTCCGTGACAACCAAGGC